CAAATGAAGGGGTAGCTCCATATGGATGCTGTGGTTGAGGGAATGTTACATGTGCTGCTTCAGAAAGTCCAGTATAGTCTGAAGCAGAACCAGCTGAAAGTCTCTTCAAACAGTTACATGGAAATAGTTGTGGGCTTATTTTCAACTGGTACTGTGTTCTGTTTCATGGTCAAGCTTTTCCCCACACACATGATTTTTGTGGTGGATTTAGTGATGAGATTCATCCTACTGTTTGAATTGTGAAGTAAGAGAGTAGCACTGATTATCTATGTTGACGTGTGATAAGTTAATCAGTGTATTGATACTGAACTGTCAAAATAACAGTTTCAAAATGAACTGATCCTTCAATTACGTTTCCTCTAATCTTTTCCATTCATGTGCGGAATACATTTTTATGTGCACCGAGGTATGTGTAAATGTGCACCACCAATCAAAGCACGAAATCTAGCTCTGGGCACTCTGCTAATCAGCTGGGCAGTATTTTTCCTCTGTGGCCACCAAAGTGCACAGCTTACAGGGAACACTAGTGGTGAGAGGTGCTAAAGTGAATAACAAACATTTCTTGCTGTAAGAAGGTACTTGCTTGGTGAGGAAAATGAAAAAAAAATGGATCTGTTCACAATGGATATATTTTGGGAGTTCTATAGCTAATTTCCAAATCTGACGAGCTCTTCACGAATCATATTGAGAAGTTCAGTACTGCTGGGTATCAAAAATCATCCTCTATTTCCTCTGTTATCTTCAATAAGATTTTTGCATCTGAGGGAGAAGAAAGTTCTATCAGCAGTATAGCAAAGTGTTATTGTTCAGTTGACAGTATTTCCACTGTTCCTCATGTTATCAGTTGGCATGCACTGTCCATTTTAACAAAAGCAGACATCCCATCAAATATTTTCTGCAAATTGTGCCCATTTACTGTCATTCCAGTGAAAGTCTTGCAAAGAATGTGCTGTGTTCTCTAAACGAACTATGATAATCCTACCAACATCAAGAAAATATGCCAGGGTTCAGACACACATTACACCAATTAATTCTTTAGCAGATTGTTCCTTGTGCTGCAAATTCTCTGAACCTCTGAACACTGTAGTTACTGATGTGCTACCTGCTTGCAGTACTTTTTTTTTTTTTTGCTTCCTCCAGCAATTCCATGTCTTACTGCTGAATAATCCTTACAAAGAGAACTAAAGGAAAGCAAAATAATTGTCTTTTCATTCTGAAATCTTTGTCTAATACCTTTTGGCCCTGTCCCCCTGAAGCCACAAAAGGCTTCTGCCACAATTGGTTAACTGTAGAAGAAGCTCTGGATAAAATCAGCAAAGATGCTGCTTAATGTGGGGGTACACAAACAGAAACTCAGTTCCTGTGAGAGAAGATGGATTGTCTTGAAACTATATTTATATGATATTATGGAATAATGTCCTATAGCAATCTCAGTCGAGTTCCACACTTTATAAAGCAAAGCCTGACTGTTGCTTAACTCCTGCAGTCCCAGGCTGATTTTTTTTTTATTGCACCTGCAGGATCAGACTGATGAAACGGAAGCACTTGCAAAGTGAAAGACACCAACTGTATCTCAAACCTAGTTCAGTGAAACTCACCAGGTTCTAAACATAAACAATAGGCTTGAAAATCCACCAAATGTGGAGCTGCAAGGGCCAGAAACATTCAGAGGAAAAACTTTTAATTTCATAGTTGATCATTTGCAAATGTCCCCGCAAAATCACCTGGAAGCTTATATTTGTTTATACTGTATAAAGGTGTAATACGGTGCAGGTCATTGCCATGGCACCTCCTTCTGGTCACTTGGGAATTAGCATCTTCAGCCCTGGAGCACCTCCTTCTGACTGGTGTCATACCTGCTGTAGCTGTTATTCTCCCCCACTTTGCATTAGGACCCATATCCTTCCCAGACCGTGGCATCCTCCCCTCTGGGTACTGCCCTATCACAGTGCCTCCACATTCTGGGGTCCTTCCCCTCAGGGAACCCTCAACTGCCTATGCCCCCTTGCCTCAGTGACCCACCACCAGTCTTCATCTAGCCCCTGCCTCAGGGACAAACTGCAGTCTGTAATGTCCACTCATCACAGGCAAAAGGGTGTGGACCTGCTGCCCCTACCTACCATGACTGCCCCTTGCAGCCCCAGTAGCTTCAGGCCTTGCTGCCTGGGAGCTTGGTTAGCCAGAGCCTCCCCAGCCCTGCCTGCCTTCCCCAACACTACTCTACCTCCAGGAAGCTACCTGTTTCTGTAGCAATCAGGTCCCTACAGTTCTCTGTCCAGAGCACTCAAGTCCTTTTGCCCTCTAGGAGTCCTTCTTTACATAGACTCCAGCTGGGCCCTCATTAGCAAGAACTGCTTCAGCTGGGGCTTCGCTTGCAGCCCTCACTCTAGGGCTAGGGTTTTGCCCTTAAAGAGCCAGTGCAGGGCAAATGCCCTGTCACAGAGGCTGTGTCTAGACTGGCCAGTTTTTCCAGAAAAGCAGCCGCTTTTCTGGAAAAACTTGCCAGCTGTCTACACTGGCCACTTGAATTTCCGC